ATAGTGGTGCTGGTTCCTGTAGTGATAGTTCTTGTAGCAATAGTTTTTGTAGCAATGGTTTTCTAGATAATGGTTCTTTAAACAATAGTTCTCTAAGCAATAGTTCTCTAGGTGATAGTTCTCTAAGTGATAGTTTTTTAAGTGATAGTTCTCTAGAAGATGGTTCTCTAGGTGATAGTTCTCTAAGTGATAGTTCTTTAGATAATAGTTCTCTAGAAGATGGTTCTCTAAGCAATAGTTTTTGAGACAATAGTTCCTGAAGCAATAGTTCTCTAAATAATAGTTCTCTAGATGATGGTTCTTAAGGCAATAGTTTCTGAGACAATAGTTTTTGAGGTGATAGTTCTTGAGGTGATGATTCTTTAGACGATGGTTTCTGAAATAATAGTTTCTGAGATGATAGTTCTGAGTAGAATATATCTGGATCTGGGTCTTGATCTAATAATAATTGCAAATACAAGTAAAACATAAAAATACTAAAAATAAATAACTAATGGTAAAAATAATAATAATAAATTACTATACAGATCATCATCTAAATCTGTTTTATTGTCAGTTTGAATATCAATTGTAGTGGAAATCTCTTCTTCATCATAAATATTGTTATTATATAATTCACTAACTAAAATGCAGTTACCACAGGGTTTATATAATTTTTCTGATACTTATTTTACTGATATCTGATTTCACTGACACCACTTTCTTGATACTCATTTTCCTGACAGTATTATTTTGTCAACAGTATAATTTTCTCAAAAATCATTTTCCTGACAAAATATTTACCTAACAATATAATTTTCCTGACAGTGTTTTCTTCTGACAACTATTACCCACTAACCCCAATATAACTCGAGAAAATGATAGTAAAATGATTGTTGAGAAGGAGAACTGTCAGTGAAATAATATAGTCAAGTAAATATTTTGTCGAGAAAATAGTTGTTGAGAAAATTATATTGTTGGCAAAATAATACTATCAGGAAATGAATATCAGAAAGTGGTATCGGTAAAATCAGATATTGATAAATGAGTATCAGCAAAATTAGTACACTGGTTACCACAAGGCTTATCACATATATAAGCTCATAGGGTATCTTTTTATATGCTCAACACCATGAATAGTTCATGGCCATTATAACGAATCTTAAACCAAAAAACTAGTCATTTCAACTAGTAGTTTCTTTTTATTTTTCTAATTTTTGTTCTAAAATTTCATTTGCATATTTGACCAACCCTTGAAACTGAGGATGTTGGGTTTTCTATTAATTACTTTAACAGATAGCTATAGGACTATAAGTTTCTTAATTACTTGCGAAACAAACTCTTTTCTATTATCTGATGATAGTATAGTTGGTGGTGACCCAATTAAATAAAACAAATCAAACAAAAAGGATGTAACTTTGATCACCCTTTTTGAAGTTAATGCTTTCACCCAGGAAAATCTAGTAAAATAATCTCTAACATGATGCACATATTTAAATTCTTTGTTTGGATCAAAACTAAGATTAATTAAATCCATCTGTGAAAAAATTTTAATAAATTTAACAATTTTTTTTTTTAAAAAAAAAAAAAAAAATTTACCTGAACTCTGGACAAAAAATTCTTCACAATTATGGGCTTGGTAGCTAAGAGGTAAAATACTAGCTTTCTAACAGCACATGTTGCACAACTATTCACAAACTGTTTAACAATATTCTGCTTTATCCAATTCCATTTATCTTATACAGATTTCT